TTCCTTCTGTGTCTTCTTGTGGCCTGATATGGGAAATGCCAATTATCCTCCAAGATTTTTTATGTCCTTCTTGTATGACCAAGACATGGTGCTGATACCCCATGCATTCCTGAATAGAACTGTTCCATAGGGTTTTCATGGCCTCACCGTTTTCACTACCCTAAACCAAACCCGGGGAGCTCAGGTGGCATAGTCAATAGGAAGTTGCACAGCTAACTCAAAGCTGACCCTCTCTGGAGAGTTGAACTCAACAGTCACTTTGAGAGAGAAAGAAGGACAATAGCCTCCTATGTGATTCACAGCTTTGGAAATGGAAATCCACTGAGGGTCCGCTACAAGTGAGTTCTGATTTGAATGAGAAACCAAAAAAGTCCATTGTCAAAAAAAAAAAAAAGTCCATTGTCAATAAAGCAATTTTGATTCACTGTGACCACGTAAGACAGAGCAGAACTGCCTTGGAGTGTCCCCAAGCCTGCACATCTTTATAGATGCAGACAGTCACATCTTCCTCCCATGTATGGCTGGTAGGCTTTTTGGCTAACAGTTTAGCAGTTTAACTATTGCATGACCAGGATTTCTTTTACATCATCCAGGTTTTCCTTCATGTGGAAAAAGAAGTCCTGATAGCTGAAGGAGCTGAAAAACAAATTCAAACCACAGGTGGCAATACTTAAGGATACTTTGGGCAGTCTATTAAATGATCTAGAAAGTATCAAGAGAAGATGGAAGGAATACACAGAGTCACTGTATCAGAAGGAATTGGCTGACACAGAAGAATTACATGAATGACATATGAGCAAGAGCCTATGGTGATGAAGGAGGAAGTTCAAATTGCTCTGAAGGAATTGGCAAGAAACAAGGCTCCAGGAGTTGACGGCATACCAATTGACATACTTCAACAAACACTGGCCTGGATGTGCTCACTAAGTTGTGCCAAGAAATCTGGAGAACAGCCAGCTGACCCACTGACTGGAAAAGATCGATATTTGTTCCCATTCCAAAGAAAAGTCACCCAACAGAGTGTGGAAATTATCGAACAATATCATTGATACCACACGCAAGCAAGATTCTGCTGAAAATTATCCAAAAACGTTTGGAACAATATGTCAACAGAGAACTGCCAGATGTGCAGGCTGGATTTAGAAGAGGTTGTGGTACTAGGGATATTATAGCTAATATCAGATGGATCTTAGCAGAAAGCAAAGAATACCAGAAGAATGTCTATCTGTGCTTCATTGACTATACAGAGGCTTTTGAATGTGTGGATCACAACAAGTTGTGGCTGACTCTGAGAAGAATGGGAATCCCAGAACATTTGATTGTGCTAATGCGAAACTTATACTTGGACCAAGAGGCAGTTGTCAGAACAGAGCAAGAAGACACCACATGGTTCAAAATCAAGAAGGGGGTCCATTAGGGATGTATTTGTCTCCATACCTTTTCAATCTGTATGCAGAACAGATCATCTGAGATGCTGGGCTGTACAAGGAAGAATGTGGCATCAGGATTGGAGGAAGAATCATCAACAACCTGCGTTATGCAGATGACACAACCCTGCTTGCTGAAACTGAGGAGGACCTGAAGCGCTTGCTGCAGAAGGTCAAGGACTGCAGCCTCCTACATGGATTGAAGCTCAACATCAAGAAAACAAAGATTCTCACCACTGGGCCAATTGGCAGCATCAGTATGGATGGTGAAGAGATTGAGATAGTTAAGAGTTTTCGTTTACTTGGTTCCATAGTCAACACTCTTGGTAACAGCAGCCAGGAAATCAGGAGACGAATTGCATTGGGAAAGTCAGCTGTGAGGGACCTCTCAAGAGTACTGAAGAGCAACGATGTCAGGCTGGAGACTAAGGTGCGCCTGATCCGGGCTATAGTCTTCGCAATTATGTGCTATGCATCAGAGAGCTGGACAGTGAATAGGGTTGATAGAAAGAGGATTGATGCTTTTGAGCTGTGGTGCTGGAGACGAGTATTGAATATACCATGGACTGCTAGGAGAACAAACAGGTTTGTCCTGGAGAGGGTGAAGCCAGGATGCTCCTTGGAGTCAAGGATTCTGAAGTTTTGTCTGACATATTTTGGGCATGTTGCAAGGAGGGACTGGTCCTTGGAGAGGGACATCATGTTTGGCAGAGTGGAGGGGTGGCAAAGGAGAGGAAGACCTTTGATGAGATGGATTGATTCTGTGACTGGAGCGGTGGGAATAAGTGCATTTGAGATGGCTAGGTTGGCACAGGATAGAACAGCATTTAGAGCTCTTGTACATAGGGTCACTATGAGTCACAAGCGACTCGATGGCACATAACAGCAACAATAAGGCTACATTTCCAAGCCTCCTTGAAGGTAGTGTAGTCAAGTAGGGCCATGTTTTAGCTAATACGGTATAAACAGAAATGAACTCTGGCACTTCTTGGAACTGTTTCTGCAGGGAGATGCCATACCTTTCTTTATTTCTTTTTTCCCTACTGCCTGGAATATGAACGTGATGGCTGGAGCTTGAGCAGCCATCTTGGACCATGAAGTGGAAGCTCTGCATTGAATATGGTGAAGCTGCACAATGAAAGTGCAGATACTAAACAGGTTTTAGAGCCAGTATAGTTAAGTTCGTGTTTCTGTCTTCTGACTTTGCCTATACGTGAGAACAAGTTTTTAACCTTATTAGAACCACTATTTTTCAGATGTTTCTGTTATTGGTTATTGTTGTGTACCATCAAGGTTATCAAAGTGGATAACCTTCCACTGGGTTATCAGAGGCAGTAAATCACATGGCAGGAGACTGCCCATTTTCCCCTCACAGAGCAGCGGGTGTATCATACCATGTGCTTTCAGATTAGCGCAGTTCTTTATCACTAGGCCACCAGGATGGCTGTTACTGGTATGCAGCTTTATCTTAATAAAAAGTGTGTGTATGATGTGAGTAGGTTTTTGCGCATATGTGTATATGCAAATGTGTAAGTTGTTTTGTTTTTTGTTTACAGGGAAAACAGTTACAGAGTCATATGTTTATAGAGAAAGTTGCTACTGTCGTTTGTGGAGCAGTGACTTCCACCTCATACTGAGCCTGTGGGACCAAGAGTTGCTTCATCAGGTTTTCTAGGCTATGATCTTCCCAAGAGAAGATTGCCAGGTCTTTTCTTCTAGAAGGAGAAATATTGGGCTGCTGATCAAAAGATCTGTTGTTCAAAACCACCAGAGATGCTCCTCAGGAGAAAGATGGGCAGTCTCCTCCTTAAAGATTTGCTGATTCTGTGATCTGACGGAGGGTCGCTATGATTTGGAACAAATAACGGTGGTTTGGGGGTTGTTTTTTTTCCTTTCACAGAGGGGTTTGTAGGCTCTCACTGCTGCTTGGCTGGCAGGCAAGTACTTAGCTTTTGCACTACCTGGGCTCCTAGGGGGAGTAGGAGTATGAATCTTAATTCATTTGCCTGCTAAATATTGACAGCACTTAATGTGGAGCTATGGTGGCCTATTGACAAGAAACTGGGCTGAAATCCCAAAAGCATGTGGTTCAAGTCCACCAGTTGCTCCAATTGCTGCTGGGCAATCTCCTCACATGTGATTAACTGCCTCTGAAAACTTGCTGGAGGCTCAACTATGAGTCTTTTGACTCGATGGTAGAAAACAACAACAACAACAATGTGGGAAAATTAGTGAAAGAGAAACAGGCTCTCAAGAGATGAGCTACACAGTGACTGTAACAATGGGCTAGAGCATGCTGCAAACTGTGAGGATGGCACAGGATAGGGTGAGGTTCTCATCTGTTGCTCACAGGATCGCTCTGAGTTATACCCCCACCACCACTAATGTGGAAAACACTGTAATAGGACCTATGAGGGAGATAAAGATGAGTAAGGAAAAGACCCCCTCCTCCGGAAGCTCTGCGTCTAGCACAGTGATCTTGTATATATGTGAGAAAGAGGTTTTTCGGAAACTCCTAGTGTACCTTCTGTTCTATCTTCTTACCTGAAAAGCTCAATCTACTTTTAATTCTTACCAGGGATAGTGTTTTATAGAGTTCAGGCCACAGCAGAGGAAGACAGAGTCATATGAAAAATATGAAACATAAGAAGGGAAAAGACTACAAAAGCAATATACTTCCTGGGCACCAGTTCAACAGAATTGGTCATGTATGCGTGCTGGTGGAAGGGATACAGAAAACTGTGGCAAGATCTGTTCCAGGGCGAGGAAGCGCACAGGCTCCACAACATGTTTAGCGTTTGCCCAGATACACTTAGACTCTGAAGAGAGTTCTCAGAGCAGACCAGCAGTTTCAGCCTTACCTGGGGTGGAGGGAGGTGGAGGGAGGGAGGGGGAGATAGCCAGACGTATTTCCAAATATCAGAGACTCTGGGATAAAAGTTTTCATGTGAGACCAATAGTTGTGCCTTAGACAACCACTGGAAAGCTTTTAAGACCCCAGCTGCTACTTACCAAAGTAGGATGACAGCTGTCTTTGTAAAGATTTTATGTCTTCCTGCTCCCTGCCCGGACTATGATCCTGCTTCAAACCTTCTTCATACAACCAAGGTTCCATTCCAGTTGCAAGTTTACTCTCACCCCAAAAGTCACCAAGGGTTGAAGCAGCTTGGAGTTCAGCCGCAAATGCAGAAGTCTGCAGGTTACCAGAGACAACATAACAGGTGCAAGCACAACGCGGCTGGTGTACACTAACTTGTAACTGCTTCCTAGTCTCTGACCATGAAAGCTGATGGTCTTTGTGCCTTTTCATTGCTGTAGGCTCCCCTTCGATCTTGGGGGCAAACGTTCTCCTGGTTGCTACCATCTTAATTCCGCGGCTTCTCTCTGTGTGCTCCCTCCGTTCTAGAACACGCTTGGAAGTCTACTTGGGACAGGCTTGAGGACTACAACTCCCGAGATGCTTCGGGCGCCGGCCCGCCCCGGGACTCCCTGGCTACCAATTGGCTGAGCGCATAGGCAGCCGCGGGGTGCCGGGGGCAGCACAGTCTGCACGTGCGCGCGGCGGGCGGCTGGATGGCTTCGCTGGGAGCGATCGTGGCTGTCCGCTCGGCGCCCGGGCTCTGGCGGCGGCTAGTGCGTACGGCCGCGGGGCTCTGGGGTCCCTGCCAGAGGAGAAGCTACGCCTTAGGCCCTGCCCAGGTGAGAACACCCCTGGCCTGTCAGATCTGCTCCTTAGAGCTGGGGCTGGGGCCGCAGAGACTGAGGGGCGCTCCAGTGTCCCTACATTTCCCCCACTTCACCCTCCCCCTCCACCCCGGGCCTCCTGGGAAATGGCCTTCTCCAGACCACCGACTGACGCTGAACTACACTGACAAGTGTAATTTCTTTTGGCTTTCAGTCCGGAAAAAAAAAATTGCAGGTGATTTGCAGCGCCTTCTGTGAAATTACAGGCTTGGAAACCGTTGTAGAAATAGGATTCAACTCGACTGCAAGGAGTTCGGTTTTTTTGTTTTGTTTTGTTTTGTTTTTTTCCAATTTTCTCTTTAGAAGGAAAAAGAAATCACTTCATAAATCCAGAACGCACACCCAAGATTGTTATTTGGCCGGCTGCCACTCTCTCCAGCCGCAAAGTTCCTTGTCAGTTTCCTTGTGCCTGTGTTTTGGTTTTTTCCCCTCTGGCCGGATTTATTGGTTGGCATTCACGGTGAGAACATTTGTACTTAGGATTTGCAACTATAGCTACGTTTTAAGGAGATATGGGGACTCGAGGTGAACCCCTCAGCAGCCTCCAGTGGTTCACAACTCAAAAGAGATAAGAGTTTCGTGCTAGCTTTTCAATTCTGCCACATTTGTCTGTGGATTTGCTTGTAATGAGTAGCTGTTCTCTGCGGAGAGTAAGGGATGACCTGAGGGCCATGTGGGGACAGAGGAGAACTGGCGCCGGGCCCCTAGTTTGTACCAGGTACTTAAGTACTGAATTCTCGCAGTAATGTTGGAGATGAGTGTGGCCGTGGTTCTAATAAGGACTCCGGCGCTTGGAGTTAAATTTTACGAACTTTTGCTAAAATGAAACATTTAAAAGGATAACTGGTCAGACACAAAAGCTGGCGCCTGTGATAGGTTTCTCTTCCACTCCAAGTCTACCTTTTCTTTATAAAGAGAATAATTTGGTCCTATAAATGAAGTTTCTGGTATGATGCATATGGAGCTTTCATAGCAACTTTCTGACACATTTGGTGAGCACATTTATTATTTTCAGATCAGCACTTATTTTGCATTGGGCAGTTGTTATTCTTTCACAATTACTATTTCATATACTCTTTGTAACAACTCTGTGGCATAAATCCAAGTATTTATTCCTCTCCTTGTATAGAAGGAAGAACAGAGAGATTAAGCAATTTGCCCAAGGACACACAGCTGATAAGTGACAGGTTCTTGGAACCCAGACAGATCCTGGTGCCAGAATCTCCTATAACTGTCATCAGTTTACATATGGAGCTGTTAAGGTTCAGAGAATGAAATTCTAATAACTAAACTGTAGGGACTTAAGCTGCTAATTCAAAGGCACTGCCTCTCTTGTGGTTCAAATCTGCCCTGTGGGAGAAAGATTAGGAATCTCCTCTTGTGAAATTTACAGCTTTAGAAACCTGACAGAAGGTCAGCTATGAGTCAATTTCACCATGTCGGCAATAAGTTGATTTTTTAAGGTCAGTGTCACAGAACCAAAAGTGAACAAGTACTATGGAATAAAAATATGTGGCCAAAAGGATTTTGTAAACCATAATGATGGAAACAGAGGATTATTATAATAATTTATTATTATTCTGTTGTTCTGTGAGTCTAAAACACTGTGACACTGATGTGTCAAATGCGTTAATGGTTAGTTACCCAATGCAGACAGTGTGAGCTGGAGCTCCCCGATTAAAACAAGCTTGGAAGAAGGAGTGGCATCCACTTCTGTAATAGCTTGCCTCCGGAAACCCTATGAACCTGGAGAGAAGATGAAAGACACACAAGCGTTGAGGACTCTCCTTCATAAGGTCACTATGAGTCGCCTGCAATTCTACGGCACTTAACAACAAAAACAATTGTCCTAAAAACATTTTGTTGTAATTAGCAGGAGCTATGGACTGTCATTTAGGATTTGACCACTAAGATTGTTAGAGCTATGTGGTTAAATTTTATAGCCACAAACAATTTTTTTTAAAAAAGTTTTTTATAAAACAACTATGAGATATCATCTCACCCCAGTCAGAATTGCAAAATTTAACAGAACAGCAAGCAACAAATGCTGGTGAAGTTGTGGAGGAACTGGAACCCTTATTCACTGTTTGTGGGAGTGTAAAATGGTGCAACCACTGTGGAAGGCAGTATGGCGCTTTCTCAAAAAGTTGCAAATAGAAATACCATTTGACCCAGCAGTTCCACTACTGGGAATATACCCCAAAGAGACCATAGCTGCCACCCAAGCAGACATATGCACACCCATGTTTATCACAGCAAGTAGTTGGAAACAACCTAAGTGCCCATCAACAATCGAATGGAGAGAGAAGCTGTGGTATATTCACACAATGTAATACTATGCTGCATTGAAAAACAAGGAACTCCTGCAGTATTATTCAAAATGGGTGACTCTGGAGGACATTATGCTGAGTGAAGTATCTCAGTCACAAAAGGACAAATACTGCATGGTGCCACTGTTGTAAAACAGGACTGACCTTGGGGTTGGGGAGAGACTGAGAAAGATGGGTTCAATAATGTATACTGCATTGAAACAGAAGAGGGAGAAAACTGTTTAAAAGGGATATGTGATTAGGTATTTTTGTCATGACAGGAGTCTAGAGCGAAGGCTACATGGTGGAGTAGACCTGGGGGAGGGTTTGTAAAACAATGAAAGAATTTTTCTTTTACTTTTCCAAGAGGGTAGTGTACTAGGGGAGAAGGTTGGGAGGGGAGAAAAGTGCAACAATGAATGAATGGAAATCCAAAGTCTCTGTAAATTTTTATTGAAATTAATAATAAAATTAAATAAAACAAAAAGAAGTTTTTTAATACATAAACTAACTATGTATGATTTTAAAAAGCCAATAATAATAATATTATCAGTCTTATAACCCATCTTGTAGATTCAGTAGTATTAGTATTTTGTCACATTTACTCTGCTTATCCCTTTTTATCTTCTTTTTTGTAGTTGTAATGATTTTAAAACAAGTGCATAGTATTTATCATTTCATTCTCAAATTCTTCAGTGTGAACCTCTATTTTAAAAGTGCATTCTTAGGGAGTTCTGGTGGCCTAGTGGCAAGAAGCTGCCCTGCAATCCCAGAGGTGTATGGGTCGATTCCACCAGATGCTCTGCTGGAGAAGAAGGGACAGTCTCCTCCTATACCAGTCAGATCCAATTTGATGGTACACACACACACACACACACACACACACATCATAATTTAAAAAGTGCATTCTCTCTTTAACTTCAGTGTTGTTATCATACCTACCAGCATTAATAATAATTCTTTCATATCACGGAAAATATAATCTCTGTCAAAATACCTACTTGTCTCAAAATTAGGGATGAATTTTAAACAAATAGTCAGAAGGTATGTGTCGCGTCTAGAATTATAAAAGAGAAGGCAAACTCTGTTAAAATGATAGTCCTGACTCCCTTATTTCACACTAACTAGTCATTCATCCCTTCAGGAGCTTGGGTGGTGTGTGTCAGGTGAACAGCTAGAATACACCATCTAATCCATGAAAGAAAGTTGAGCAGTTTCCATCCATAAACATTCTCAGCCTTGGAAAGCTGATGGAGGGGCACTGTGAGTCAGAATAGAATTTGCAGCAGTGGGTAGGTCATCAACCAGTCAGTCTACGTGGACTGTTGAGACCTGTGGCGGATATGAGGACATATCCGACATCCTCATCTCTTCACCCATGGTAGTAGTGATTCTTTCCTAGAAGAGTTAAGATTATACTGATAAAATCTGGTGAGCAGTAGTTCCTGTTCCCAGGGAAAAATGTGCATTTGCTCACCTTCCCAACCCCAGCCTTTAAAACATTTTATGGGCACTCTGAACTCTTTCCCTGGATCCAGAGTTAGAATATGCATTCTGTGGGATTCATGTAAAAGGGAGGGGAGTCAGTTGTCCTCCAGGGCCATTGGGTATATGCTTGCACTGATTACAAAGAAGGACTAGAACTCATGCCCAAGAGCTGGTGGGAAGTATGAGGAACAGTGTGTTCTGGACAAAGAGGAGCTGATATCCTGGATTCTTCAGTGTTCAGAGGTGCCCATCCCCATCTGCCCTCGCTGCCCTGGGAGACTGTGATCAGCTGAGGAGCTCTGCTTTTCTTCTCGACAGATAAGAAGTTGAATTCTGAGTTCAGCACTGTGAACTGGGTGACCTTTGGCTATTTTCTCTGAGTCTATTTTCTTATGTGTGCACTCGGATTATTCCATGATTGAGGGTGTGTGTGTGTGTGTGAGAGAGAGAGAGAGAGAGTGTGTTGTTAGGTGCCATTGAGTCAAGTATAACTCACAGCAGCCCCATGAACAAGAGATCCATCCTCAGTCTCTGACATGCTGGAGCCCAAAGCTGCAGTCACTATGTCAGTCCATCTAGTTGAGGGTCTTCCTCTCTTAGGAGGTGTAGTATATAGGTCAGCAGATTAAACCTAGCAGCTGCTCAGTGAGTGAAAGATGTGGCAGCCTGCTTCTTGAATGTTTATGACTGTGGTGACCCTGTGGAACAGTTGTAATGGTTTTGTGAGTCACAGTCAGCTTGATGACCTTGGCTTTAGAGATTGATGCCCCTCCCCCAACCTCTTTAGCATTGATAAGGAACACTAGTGGTGCTGTGGCTGTGACATTAAGCTGCTAACCAAAAGACCAGTTATTTAAACCTGGCAGCCACTTCTCGAGAGAAAGATGATGCAGTTTGTTTCTGTAAAGCTTTATAACCTTGCAAACCCTTGGACAGTTCTCTTCCATTTTACAGGGTTGCTGTGATTTAGAGCATCAACTCCATGAAAGTGTTTTAGTGCAAAGATTCGATCAAAATACAGTTGACCCTTGAGGAACACAGGTTCAGACTTGACCGTGGATTTCTTTTGAACCGCTGTGTGATGCTAATCATCCCCATGTGAACAGGTGCTCTTAATTGCACCTCTTGGTAAAAAACAATTTCTCTCAGTTCTCACAT